ATCTTTATATATATCTTAAAGAAGATGTGGTATGTGTATATATATATATATATATGTATATATATATGCACATACCTTTATTCATTTATCTATTGATGAACACCTACATTACTTCCATATCTTCCATATCTTCCATATCTTGGCTATTATAAATAATGCTGCAATGAACAGAAAGATGCACGTACCTTTTTGAATCAGTGTTTTTACTTACACAGAAGTGGAATTGCTGGCTCAAACGCTATGTTCATTTCTAGTTTTTTGAGGAATCTTCATATTATTTTCCATTGTGGCTGCAGTTTACAGTCTCACCAACAGTGCACAAGAGTTCACTTTTCTCCACATCCTCACCAACACGTTATTTGTTGACTTTTTGGTAATAGCCATTCTGACTGGTATGAGGTGGTATCACATTGTGGTTTGATTTACATTTCCCTGATGATTAGTGATGTTGAGCATTTTTTAATGTCTGTTGGCCATCTGTATGTCTTCTTTAGAGAAATATCTTTTCATTTCCTCTGCTCATTATTTGATTAGATTATTTTTGTTATTGATTTGTATGAGTTTCTTATTATAATTCAAATATAAACCCCTTATCAGATATCATTTGTAGATATATTCTCATATTCAATGGGTTGTCTTTTTGTTTTGTTGAAGGTTTCCTTCTCTGTGCAGAAGATTTTAGTTTAATGTAGCCACATTTGTTTATTTTTGCTGTTGTTTCCCTTGCTCAAGCGGATGAAGCCAAAAAGATATTGATACTAAATAGTCTACTTTCTATGTTTTCTTCTAGGAGTTCTATGGTTTTAGACTTTACATTTAAGTCTTTAATCCATTTTGAGTTCATTTTTGTATATGGTGTAAGAGAGTGGTCCAGTTTCATTTTTTCTTTTTGCATGTATCTGTTCAGTTTTCTCAACACCAGTTGTTGAAGAGACTGTTGTTACTCCAGTGTATATTTTACCTCCTTTGTCATAAATTAGTTAAACATATAAGCAAGGGTTTATTTCTGTGTTCTCTATTCTGTTACACTGTTTTATGTGTGTTTTTGTGCCAGTACCATATGGTTTTGATTGATATAGCTTTGTAGCATAGTTTGAGATCAGGGAGCATAATATCTCCAACTTTGTTTTTTTTTTCTCAAGGTTGAATTGGCTATTCAGGGTCTTATGTGGTTTCATATAAATTTTAGTAATTTGTTTTAGTTCTGAGAAGAATGACTTTGGTATTTTGATAGAAATTGCATTGAATCTGTAAATTGCTTTGGGTAGTGTGGTCATTTTAACAATATTAATCCTTGCAAACCATGAGCACAGAGTATATCCTTCCATTTATTTGTGTCCTCTTCAATTTCTTTCTTCAATATCTTATAGTATTCAGAGTATAGGTTTTTCACCCACTTTGTTAAGTTTATTTCTAGGTATTTTATTTTTGATGCAATTGTAAATGGGATTTCTTTCTTTATTTTTTCTTCTGATTGTTTATTATTAGTTTATAGGAATGTGACAAATTTCTGTATTTTAACTTTGTATCCTGCTACTTTACTGAATTATCTTACTAATTATATCATTTTTTGGTGAGTAATTTAGAGTTTTCTATATATAGTAACATGGCATCTACAAGTAGTGACAGTTTTACTTCTTTCCTATTTGGATGCTTTTTATTTATATTTTTTGTCTGATTGCAGTAGCTAAGACTTCCAGTACTATGTTAAATAAGAATGGTGACAGTGAGTATTCTTGTCTTGTTCTTGATCTTAGAGGAAAAGCTCTCAGCTTTTCACATTGAGTATGATGTTAGCTGTGGACTTGTCATACATAGCATTTATCAAGTTGAAGTAAGTTCCTTCAATAATTTGTTGAAAGTTTTTATCATAAATAGATATTAAATTTTGTCAAATGCTTTTTCTGTATCTATTGAGATCATATAATTTTTATCCTTAGTTTTGTTGATGTATAGAATCACATTAATTGTTTTGTGATGTCAAACCACCCTTGCATCCCTGGTATAAATCTCACTCGGTTGTAATGTATAATCCATTCAATGTACTGTTAAATTTGGTTTGATAGTATTTTGTTGAAAATTTTGGCATCTACATTCATCAGGCCTATAGGCCTGTAATTCTCTTTTTTTTTTTTTTTTTGTAGTGTCTTTGTCTGGTTTTGGTATCAGGATAATTATGGTAATGCTGGCCTCGTGGAATGAATTTGAAAGAATTCCTTCTTCTTCAGTTTTTTTGGAATAGTTTGAAAAGGATAGGTACTAATTCATTAAATATTTAGAAGAATTACCTGTGAAGCCATCTGTTCCTGGGCTTTTGTTTATCGGAAGTGTTTTGATTACTACTTCAATTTCATTTCTAATAATAATAATAATTAATTATAATAATTATTATTTCATATAATAATAATAATTATTATTTCATTGCTAATAATAATCTGTTTCTGGTTTAGTTTTGAAAGGTTGTATGTTTCTAAAAATTTATCTATTTCTTCTAGATTGTTGAATTCGTTGACATATTATTGTTCAAGCATTTTTTAATGATCCTTTGTATTTCTACGGTTTTGTTGTAATCTCTACTCTTTCATTTCTGATTTTTTTATTTGTGTTCTCTCTCTCTCTCTGGTGTGCTTGATGAGTCTTGCTAGAAGCTAGTCAACTTTATCTGTCCTCTCAAAGAAACAGCTCTTGATTTCATTATCTTTTCTACTGTTTTTCTATTTTGTATTTTATTTATTTTTGGTCTCATCTTTATTATTTCCTCTTTTCTGCTTACTTCAGGTTTTGTTTGTTCTTTTTCTAGTTTCTTTAAG